TTAACTTTTAATTTTGAAATAGAGTTTGGTGGTATAAAAGACAAACGGCTGCAGTACAAGGGGATTCTGTCCTCCTCTTCTGATGAGATCGACTTTAGAATCTCTTCTTCATGCACTTTCATACAAAGTGAAGTCTCCCCAGCAAAGTTATCGCAGGAGATTCATTTAAACCCAATTACTCTTCGTAGCTAATTCATGCTTACTCTACATATTTGAAGATGAGGGAAGTTGTTGCAGGAAAAGAATGCGGATGTGGTCACAGTTGTAAGACCAATCATAGAGTACCTTCCAACAATATTTATCTTATGAACAATGTGGGGAGCCAGCTTAAATTGTTGATAGATTCTTTGAAACCCAAATTATCTTTATTTGTGATACAAGCATATGGGTAACTTTTGGCGGACTGAAGAAGTATGGAAAAGTGTCACTCGTCACCTTTAATGGACTAACTTGAGTTGTCAGTTTGTTGAATTCTGTTTTGCAGCTGTATGCAATCACGCAGGATGCGGAACACAATTTTGGCAGAATTCGTTGCCACATGATGACCCAGTGGTTCACTCTAGGGTGAAAAACTTAAGTATCACTAAAAGACTTCTTAATACTTCTACCAAGTTGCGAAATCGAGGTTCGGTCAAGTCTCTATTATAATAAAAGGTCAACAAAACCCTACACCTCAATATGCTTGAGTTGGTTAATCTGTCGAGATTACACACTGCACCGTGATGGTTTGTTTCAGGCTGAGTGTATTGATAAAACATAGACGAGGTCGAAACTGCAGTCCACTCCAAAAACTATGTGAAATTCAATGAAAACTTTAGCTCTATTCATATCATTGTGAGAAAAATCAACTACCAGTCCTTCGTGACTTTAAGCTAAATATAGTGATCACAGCTCATATACTTGAATTTAATGGAAATTTCATCCAATTTTAATGTATCCCATTTTTATTCACATTATTTAGGCAGTTTATTCCTTATTCACTGAGAAGCCGTTCAAAACTATATGTAAAATGAGAGGTATTCACCCTATTTCGTCTAAGGTGATGAAGGACTGGCAGTAGAATTTTCCCACAATGAGCTGATGTTTCCATTGAAGCAAGGCTATGTGAAATTCAATGGAAACGTCAGCTCAACTCATATCATTTTGGTAAAATTCTAGAACGAGTCCCTCATCAGCTTGGATGAAATAGTATGAATACATGTCATATTACTGATTTA